TCTACCTTTCAAGTAGCTAGGATTGCTCAAGCCACTGCACCCAGCTTCTCTCTGAGTTTTTATACTGCTCATGCTGAGCACCTGGCAGACAGGGATGGGCGTTACTCCTGCTTGGATTCCAGAAGCTCATGCCAGTGTGATGTAGAGCAGGGGGTCAATGATGGGGTGTTTAACAAAATGTCTATAGCACCGACTCATTTAAGGAGGTTTTTATGTTGAGCGCAGCGAGTGGAGAAAAGTCATGAATGGTCTTCAAACTGTTTCTCGAGTTGAGTTGCCTCATTTCATAGAAGAGAAAACTGAGGTTCTGAGGGATTCTGACATGACCAGGGCTACATTGCAAGGAAGTGGCCAGGCCAGGTTTGGGAGTCTAATTTCCGAATCCCTATTCTTGCCACTGCTGCTAAGCCCCAAGCAAGGGGTCAGCTCCCTGTAGTCCACACAGGCCTGGCAATGTGCCAGTGTTCCAGTGGTCGGGTTGACACATGGTGATTAAAGGGCTCTGGTGAGGGTTTATATCATACCACCCCTATGCACACAAACTTAATGGTCTGACCCTGAGGTCTAGTATTTTTTTCCTTCCTGGGCAGTCAGTCAGGTTAGTGGAAGGAACCTGATAAAATCTTAGAAGGAAACTTGATCATTCTCTGAAAAACTTACAAGTTGTTTGGCCTGCCTAATCTGCTCAGACACCGTCCTGGGCATATTCAGTATCCATGTAGTACAGACTGTGAATTATTCTGTGGGGACTGTTAACAAGACCCTCCCCAACCCTGCCTGAGCTGCCCTCAGGCAAGGCCTGGGGACAGCCCCTGCTCCTCCACTCTTACTGAAGCTCTGAGAAGAGCAGAAGGCTGGGAAGAGGGGAGTTTGTGATAGAGAAGACCTCCTGCCTTCAAACTGAGCTCACCATGCAGAGCTGGCCCCATTCCTTCCTCAGAGTTCTGGCTGTGGATACAAATGCCTTAGCTAGGATAACTTTCATTCCATTATTTTGGCAACCTGGCACCTGAATGCCTAACACAGAAAGAGGCTGACTTTCTAAAATCAGTGCAAGGAAAATTATGAAAAGTTCTGTCTGGAGAGACTTCAAGGTGTCATCTACCCCTGGATTTAACTATGAGGAATCTACAACACCAAGGCTGTTACTAGTCAAGGTCACACAGCTGCTGGTAACAGAGCAGAAAACACAGTTGCCTGATTCTAAATCCAACTGTTCTCTCCCCTTAAACTACAGCCAATCTACACAACACACACCCTGCTCTTTTTAGAAGCAATACACACACACACACACACACACACAACTAAGCCAACTCCTGTGTGCCCCTAGGTATTTGGGGGAAAGGGCTCAAAAGTCATTCTGTGTGCTGTCACACCCACCCTCGACTGGGCATGAGCAGAGAAAGTCCCAGTAACAACCCCCAGGCCTTTCCCCTATCTCTCCCTTTCTTCTGCTCCAGCTGAGTTTCCAGAATGGAGCATCCTGAGAGTTGTCAGGGCACAGCTGGGTGCCGAGAACACACAGGCCAGATACGGGGACCTCCTGGTCTTAGGCTGAGTGCCCCAGGGTCTGGAGACCCGGGGGTGGGGTGAGGGGAATGCGCACCACCACCTGTCCTGCTTTCCCGATCTCCAGTGGCCCCAAGGTGGGTTCCGCTGGGGACCATCGGGGCCAGCGCCGGCCCTGTGAGGAGGGAACGCAGAGGGCAGACCAGAGGCTACCGCCTTGCGCCGGACTAGGCTCCAGCGAGGCCGGGGCGCCCTCTCCGCGGCGCTCAGGTTTGGGAATAGGATGGCCTCGCCGGGCCGCCGCCTGGGCGGTTCGTGTCCCCATATATAGTCATATCCACCGTCAACCGGGAGGCCGGCAGGCGGCAGCGAATGGGCGAGCGGCCCCCGCGGGAGGAGGCACGGGGCGGAGGCAAGAGAGGGGGAAAGGAGGCAGGAGAAAAAAGCTTTTCCAAAAAAGTATTGGCTGTCTTGAGGAATGCGGTCGCCCCCCTGGGAAAGTACATATCTGGCAGCAGCAGGCGACTCCGCGCTCGCACTCCGGCTCGGCCGCCACACCGCGCTCGTGTTCGCGTCTCCGCTCGCGCCGCAGCCCCAGGGCCCCTCGCCACCGCCACCATGGACGCCATCAAGAAGAAGATGCAGATGCTGAAGCTCGACAAGGAGAACGCCTTGGATCGAGCCGAGCAGGCGGAAGCCGACAAGAAGGCGGCGGAAGACAGGAGCAAGCAGGTCTGCGCTTCCCCAGCCCTGCGACCGCTGATCGCCGGCACTAGGCGGGCCCGGGTGTCCCCGAGCCCCGGGACCCGAGCCCGGCACCCCTTCCTATCCCCCCACCGCGAGGACTCCGGGAGCCATCCCCAAGCCAGGGCGGCCAGGGGCGCGCGAGCGTAAAAGAGGGAGGGGAAGTGCAGGTTTGAGGCTTATCCTAACTTTTCAGTCTCGTCTGGGGACGCTTATTTCCCTTCTCTGGTTCCCACAGCCCGCCAAGTCCACTTAAGTCCTACCTAGAGGCACTCGATTCCCAAGACTGGGAGTCAAGTTTGGAAACGGAGTGGGAAAAGGACACTGGCTCCTGGGACATGTGAAGGAAGGGGGAGGGGGAAGGAGAGTCAAATCCTGAAAGTGTTGGAACTTTGGACTTTTGACTGGGGAAAAGGGAACCTGAACCTGGGATGTAGACCTTGGGCGAGGAGAGGGGTATCATGGTTTCTTAAGAACAAAGATGGGGCAGAATGGAGGATACAACGCCCCTTCCTCCCAAGTTGTGAACTTGAACCCGCTGAGACCTCGGCAAGAATCTCGTCCCGGGGAAGGTGAGGGTGCGGGATGAGCCACTGAGCGGTTCCAGCTTCTGGCCAGAGGTGGTTCCTTAGGATCCCTTGAACCCCAACTCAGCGCCGCCCCCAGCCCCAGGGCCCCAGCCAACCTGGCGCCCGTGATGTGTGTGTGTGTGTGTGTGTGTGTGTGTGTGTGTGTGTGTGTGTGTGTGTGTGTGTGTGTGTGTGTGTGTGTCTAACACCCGGTCCGTGCCGGCCGCCCTCGCCCGCCCGCCACCGCCCCCCCAGCTCGAGGAGGACATCGCGGCGAAGGAGAAGCTGCTGCGGGCGTCGGAGGACGAGCGGGACAGGGTGCTGGAGGAGCTGCACAAGGCGGAGGACAGCCTCCTGGCTGCGGACGAGACCGCCGCCAAGGTACCCGGAGCGCGCGGCGCAGCGCGGCGCACGAATGGCTAACTCTTTCTCTTTCTTTCTCCCTCCCTATCTTTCCTCCTCTTTTTCCCACTGTCCCTGTCCTTACCGTCTGTGCACCCCGCGCCCTGCGGGATCACGCTGCCTGCTGCACCCCACCCCACCCCCATTTCCCGTACCCCACGGCCAACTCCCAGCTGGAAGATGAGCTGGTGTCGCTGCAAAAGAAACTCAAGGGCACTGAAGATGAACTGGACAAATACTCCGAGGCTCTCAAAGATGCCCAGGAGAAACTGGAGCTGGCAGAGAAAAAGGCCACCGACGTAAGTGCACGCTCACACTGCCGCCCTCATCTGTCCAGCGTGGCCACTCTGGGGTCACTGCAAGGGCCAGAGGGTATGGGACACCTGCACACAGCCTGGCCATGGCCCAGAGCACTGGATGCCGCCTCTGACTGCTGTTGCACACATTCGTTTATATTTCATCCATTCCTCTTTCTCTTCTTTTCTTTTCTTTCACCCCCTCCCCCGCCACACACACACACACCTTTCCCCCTGGGTTTGGAGGTGGGTGAAGTGAGAAGCTGGGAGAACAGAGTCGCTGATATTGGACTCTGGAGGTGAACCTTGCCTCCTAGTGGCAGAAAACCCCTGGAGTGTGTCAACTGCAAGGTTTGTGCAACAGAAAATACCTTATTTTCTTCCATTTTGCCATCCCCAGTGGGTGAGAAGATCTGGTTTGGGGTGGACCTACTGAGGGTCCAGAGGTCTGGCTTCTAACATAGTGGCCTTTCACTTACAAGGTTAAGTTTGATGGTGGAGACGCTGTCAGGCTTCCTTTCTCAATAGGGAAATCTTAATCCAGCTCTTAAGACTTGCCTGGGAAGTTGATACTTGCTTGGGTCTGCAGTCTAGATCCAGAAAGTAAGCAGGGAGTTATATATAGCTCAGTGCTTTATATGGTATAGTGAGCTAGCTGCCCCCTGCCCCTCCTGCCCGCCCCACCCCCACCTGTCAGCCTTCTGACAACCACCACATACTTTCAGGGGTGATGCACACCCTGCTAGAGCTCTGCTAGCATTTTCTTCAATGTCCTTTGGGATCTTAACTGTAGAGCTTGACTCTCTGTCTCTGAAAGTCAAGCCAAGGATTAGATTTCCAAAGGACTGACTTCTTTTCACACCGTTGAATTCCATTCTAGAAGCTAATTAAGCCTAGAGGCCTAATTAGAAAAGAATTCCTGGGGAAGTTGCTAACAATTCCAAGAATGTATGAGCACCAGGGAAAGCAATGCCCAAAAGTTGAACCCCCAAGTGCAACAGAATTGTCTTGTATGAAAGTAAATGCAAATTACTAAAGGATCTCAGGTCTCAAAATTAGTACAGGCCTTTTGTACCATGCATTTGCTTTGTAAATGAAACATCCAGACAAAGGTCACTTAGGATCTGACAAAAAGAAGTTTTCAATGAAAATCAAGGTGCCTGGAAAGCACTGATTTAGCTAAAATATTTGCATTATAAAACTACCTGGCTTTTGAAAAAGTGCAAAACAAAACAACAAAAACAACACTTAAAACTGAGTCGGTTTTGTATAATTCGGATCAGATGTCTGTCTGCTGTATACATGGAGGATGACTGTCTCCCCCAAATTCTCCAGCAGGACGTTTATTTAGCTTTTTCAAAAGAGTTGCTGATAGATCATGGAGAGATATTCCTTATAAGGAATAGAATGCAGAGAATTTGAAAATAGCCCAGGAAGAATGAAAGCAAGAGGAGGAAAAAGCTACTACAATTCTTAGAGGGGGGGGAAATGATAATAATTGTTGTAACTATGTAGTGCTATCATATCATTATTGAGAAGTCTTGTTTAAGGGGGCCTTGGAATGAGGCAGGGCAGAAATGGAAAAGAGGCTATTTAAAGTTGGGGCAGGGCCCCTAGGGGAGGGAGGTTCTTCAGTCCAGTGTTGGTGCCTTTTATCCACTGGAAAACTGTCCCTAAATATGGTGGGTGCGTTTCTTTTGGTTAGTGTATTGATCATCTTACCCTCTAAGACTTTTTAGGTTGTTTGGAGATTGTAGGGATGTTGGGGAAGTTTGAGAAGAAATGTTATATTTAGAGTGATTCTTGAACTAGTAAAAATAGTCAAGATTTGAGGAGGAAGAGACATGCCACTAGAAAAAAAGGAGTGGTAGGAGAGAAGTCAGCTTCCTGATGTACTGGGATGGGGACATTTCATTACCCCCCAGTGTAAAAACATTTTTATATTTTTCTATTATTACCACTAAAACTATTTTTTAACTTACCAACATACTTTATAAATCCTATTCCAGAAGTGGGGTTTTCCTGGCTTAAAAGGTTGTCATTCAGGAGCTGGGTTTTGTTTTGAAATTGTTATGGCTTTTGAACTAAGTGGGAATAAAGGGGTGTGGGATTCTGTTGTCTTGGTCCCTTTCCCAATAATTGATGTATCAGATATTTGCAAGATGTGAGTCTTCATCTCCTGTAGATATTTTCTTTCTAAATTAGTGAGTCTTAACCTTATCTAAACAAGAATGCCCAGGGAGGTTTTTAAAACTCAAGGCAGGCTGCAGCCCAGGCCAGTTAAATCAGGACATTTGCGATGGAAGCCAGGCAGAATTCTGTAAATACCCAGGTGATTCCAACCTGCCGCCAGGGTTGAGAACATCTGTCCCAAACTCTTCTATAATGACATCAGCTTAAAAATGAACTCACCTGAAACTCTTCCTCAAATGTTTGAAAAGCAGGATATTAAGCCACTAGTTGGCTGCTTAGAGCATTTGCAAGTCCCAGCAGTTTCCCTGGCTGCCCCTGGAGTTTCCCCAATGCCCTCTTTCCATACCCTCAATGTAGGAGGTCCATGATCTGTGGGCTTAGGGCAGGAACCATAGTCACCAGCCTGACCAGATGGACAGCCTGGAAAAAAAGCGAGAGGCTCCACCTACAGGATGTGAGGGCCCAAGCTGGGGTCCTTCAGTCTGTCAGCCCTTGAGGAGCTCTTTAGAAAGTCAGAAAAGCAAAGCAGGCTTGTCCATAATGCTTTGGAGGAGGGGGGAATGGCAGGCATGTTTTCTTTTTTCTTTCTTTTCCTTCACACTTAAAACAGACACTGACTTTTAAGGGTCCTCTGTGACAAAGGTGAGAGGAAAAAATCGTTTGAGCCGTGAAAGGCATTTTTAAAATGCAGTCCAAGAGGAATCAATCAGCACAGATGGGTTCCCAGAGACTCTGTCCACGTGGTTTTCAAGCTGGTAGCCAGAATTCTGTCATAGGGTTCTGTGGCCTTCCTTGGGGGACCTTTTTAAAGGTTTACCAGTGTAGCCCAGATCCGTCGGGTTCCAGACCTCAGGCTATTCTAAAAGCAGGGGAAGTTGTAACTAGAAGGTGACCTGAGATTGCACAGCTGGTTACCGGCCCAGCCTAATTTGTAAGCAATGTCTGTGTTTTTATTAATTATAGCTATCAATTTGAGTTCTTAACTCTACTCAAGGCACTGTGAAACCTGCCTTATTATCTCATAATTCTAACAGCCCTGTGACTAGCCTTATACTGATATTCTCATTTTTACAGATGAAGCCCAGAGAAGTTACTTGCCCAGAGTCACACAACCAGAATCAAGCCTAGGACATTTAGACCAGGAGCTCTAACAACTATGTTTTATATGTGCTTTTTACTTAGTGACATAACTTGGGGTGGCGGAGGAGCGCGATGTGGTTAAGATCTTGTGTTCTGGGGTTCTTTATGAGGAACAGCCCCATTAGGGCACATTCAGGCAGCAAAGCCCCTCGTTCAGCGTCTCTCCTAGACGTGGGAATCAGGATGGCTTAAGCGTGGCGCTCCTGCAGCCGGCAGAGGCCGCCATCGCGCTTAGCTGCCAAGTCCGCGGCCCCTGCGCGGGGAACGAGCGCCAGCAGTCCAGTAAACTTCCCCGTTACTCTCCCGCGCCCCGAGGCCTCGTACCCCCCGCGGTGCGAGCATGCGCAGTGCGTCCCTGCTCGCCCCGCCCCCGCGCTCGCGTTCCCGCCCGCGGTTTGTCGGCGCCGCCCCGCGGCCGTGACTTCCGGGCTTCTCCTGGGCCGCAGGGGGCGCCGCCGTCGCACAGCGGCCGGGGCGGGGCGGACCGGCGCGCGGTGGCGGTGGTGGTGGTGGTAGCGGCGGCTTGAGCGCAGCAGCCGCCCTCGCCATGGCGGGGAGCAGCTCGCTGGAGGCGGTGCGGAGGAAGATCCGGAGCCTGCAGGAGCAGGCAGACGCCGCGGAGGAGCGTGCGGGCAGCCTGCAGCGCGAGCTGGACCAAGAGCGGAAGCTCAGGGAGACCGTAAGGGATTCATCCAGCCCCCCGCGACCCCTCGGAGGCGCTGCCCCAGGCAGTCGGCCCGCGGTGCCCTGCACCGCCCTCCCGAAGCCGCCCGCGCCCGCCCCCAGGCCGCCGCGCTGCACCTGGCGCACCTGGGCCAGCTGGCGCCCGGCGCTGGGAGGGGCCTTGCCTGCCCTTTCTCCTCGGCCATCTCGCTGGTCCAAAGTAAAAGCTGCAGAGGAGATGAGAGTGGGGTTGAGAAGGTTCTAGAAGCAGCATTTTGCCTGGAATGGGTTCCATTTCTGGGGTGGGTTGGGTCTCAGTCCCCAGGATATGCACTTTGTGCGCTACTAGTATCATTTACTGAGGGTGGGGAGGGGCGCAAACTGGTCCAGGGTGTGAGGCATTGCGGGACTTTGAGGCCTAGGGATGCTGGACTTGGCTGGCTGTCCTGTGCGGGTTAAGACATGGACAGCACCGAGGTTCTGACGGAAGAGCTCACTTGCACAGTATGCAGCCCTTTTACCCGTATGATTCTTAACCCTTCCTCCTCCCAAGGTCTCTACAAATAGATATTCCTTTGTTACCCAGCCTTGAAAAAAGTTGGCTAAATGTCAACGGTTATTGGGTGTATTCTCCTGCCGGCTTCCCCTCCTCCTTGTTGAAGGTAATACCTGGTTTCCTTTCTTCTCCTAAGGCAAATGTAGCCAGTGAACAGAAACAAGATTTCACAAGGATTTTAGCAATTTTCAGTGTGTGTGTTTTAAATCAAAACGCTCAAAGCACCTTAGGAGTTTTATGACAAGCGATTATTTGGTCTCCAGCTGTGCCTTACATACACGGTACTGTTCTGAACTGGGTGAATCCTTCTGGTTAAGTGTTTGTAATGGCTGCATGGCTTCCCCCAGAAACTTAAAGGCGTGTTTTGTGTGAAATTTGGGCAAGCAAATAAGTTTTCTTCAGAAGAGATTTCGTACAAAATACAGATGGGAACAAGGAAGTCCGTAGGCGAAAGGTAATTTTCAGTATTTGCTTTAGAGACCGAGTTAGCAAAACATTCCCCAGAGATGTCTCTGAACTTGGCTGGGTGGTAAATTAATCCCACTTTCTGACTAGCTAGCATCTGTCCTTGAACCTTTAGTGCTAATGGAACATGAGGAATAAGAGCAAGAACGCTGGTCCTAGTTTGTCAGGATTTGAATCCTGGCCCCACTACTCACCAGCTGGGGACAGTTACTTAAGCCAGCAGTGCCTGTGTTCACTAACGGTAGAATGTGCATCATAATAGCACCTCCCTGCTATTAAAGAGAGCAGGCTGTGAAGAGATCCCAGTGGGGCCCTACACAACAGGCAGTGCTGTGCATGCCTCCCTGCTATTAGATGCCTGGCACTCCTCACCTGCAGCTCCCCACCCAGCCAGGGCTCACTTCACTACAAGTGTAAAAAAAAAACCTGTCAGATGCTTTTAATCAACAAGTTTTTTCTTGGAATTTGAATGGAGAGGGGAAGTGGGCAGTCTGGAAGGAATGTTTGGTGGGTTGAAGGGCTGTTTGTTGAAAGACTCAGAAAAAATGTGTGATCCTACAAAGCAGATCCTTGATCAATTCCTGGCTAGTGGTTGTTAGACACAAAGGACAAATTTTATGAGTGAAGGCCACCTTACTACTTTTCAGACTCACCTTCTGTTTTGTGCCATTTTTGTAACAGTATGTCTGTGCTGGTTGGCTAAGGACAAGTTGTTTTCAAGGCTTTATATCAAGTATTTTTAGAGTAATTTTTGAAACCCTCTGTCTGGGTGATTGGATACAGAACCTTCTAAAACAGCAACCAGGACACTGGGCAAAACCATTGAAGAGAGAAGTTCAAGTTGAGAGTTGTTCTAACTTCTGAAACAGGAACTTTAGTGTAACTGGTTTATAGACGTAGCTTAGTCTGTGAATTAAGCTAGCAAACAGTTTCTCTTGGCAACAAAAATAAAGGTTTAGTGACAAAGCCACTGCAAAAAATACTTGGCTGGAAAGTTGGCCCTGAGTTCAGATACTCCAAGGTTCACATAGGCTGTCATTAATTGGCCCTATTAAACCAGCACTTACCTTGGAAAAAGCTAGCTAGCCCTTATTTCCTCCTAGTTTGTTTTTCCAAGGTGTGTGGGCCCTTCAGAATCTTGGAATGAGGTTACTTTGCTTGATGTAATGGTTGACTGTAGGCCAGGTGACCTATGAGGGTTTCGTTTGATTTTTGTTATTTTTAAAAGGGCAAAAAAGCTATTTCTCTCTCCTTTCTGAATAGAACCAAGCAAAGAGGGAGATTTAAAATTGCAGCTAGTAGGTTCTTAATTGGTAACTTGATTAAATCATGGAAGATAAGACTTTCTAGCCCTTTTCCTCCTTACAGTTGGTAAATCTATCTGGAACCAGGAAGCTGCGTTTTTGTGCAGGCATGAGTGCTTCCCGAGTGGCTGTAACTGGAGTGTATACCCTACTCTGGATCTCCACGCTCTCATGTAGGCACTCAGAGGCACCAACCACAATGCCTTGTTCATGTCTGTCCTCCCTCATTATACAAATATGCCTCATAAATTGCAGGCTTTGGCACAGATAGAGGAGGTTGTGTTTATCTACTGTCCATGGGAGTGCCCCTCAATGTCATCAGTGTTTTTTTTTTTTTATTTTGTTTTGTTTTTCCTTTTTCTTACCATATAAGGGCAGGAGTTTAGCTTGGCTGTAGTCACTTGGTCTTATACAGCAAGAAGGGTGAAACCTTCTCTGTATAACTTCAGTTTTCATGAATTGAAAGGGTCTGACCTTTGATCATTCCATGCTCCGTGCTGGTTCAGGCATGACTTTGAAAACATATTCCAGAGGATTCATCTTGAGGATATAATACTATTCTGTGTTCATCTAAAACATCTGGATTTCATGAAAATCGTAGGCCTTTTAAAGTTTTTTTTTTTTTTTTCCCCAAAATCTGATTTGAAGTAATAGTTTGCTCTATTGGGGTCAGCATGCCCTGATTTTTGTATACCACCTTGTGAGGTAAGAGAGTGGTTTGTGTAACCTTGTTTTTGTGGAGGTAGCCAGTACCTCATTTGGGGGTGGAGGTGGGGAGTAGGGTGGAATGGTGAGCTTGCCCTTGACTTCTGTGTATGTAGCTAGTTCCTGTGGGGCAGGAGGCATGTACCACCCTAAGGACCTCACAAGTGCCAAACACGGGCTGGTGGTTTAACAAGGAATCTGCAGGAAGACACCACACCCTCACTGATGCAGCAGTCTCTCTGAGTAGCTCATTACGTGTTGGGACACAATAGCACTTTTGAAATAAAAGAAATTCACATCCCAAACTGAAAGGCTTTACTGGCATTGTGGACACATGGGCCACTGTTAGAAGAAAGCTAATTCAGTACACTAAGGGTGATTTACATGCCTGGAAATAATTTGCGTCTGGGGTCTTGACCTTCCCCAGATTCCTTGTTATTTATGTCAGCTTTTAAATAAAATAACAAATGGTCATGTGACTGTGGGCTTGTATTGATGGAGGCAGCGGCAGGACCTGAAGACTACCTGAGTGTTGAAAAAGCCTTAGGAAATATCTGGAGAAGTCTCAGAACTGAGGGAAAAAAAGCACCAGAAATGGGAACTAGGGAAGGGGAGAAGTATAGGCCTTTGGAACACAATGTATAATAAATTTTGGGGGATAAATGTGCCTCAGTTAAACTTGCCTGAATTTGAAGGAGGCCCTGTTGGCTAGTATTGTTGGTGGATATAAACCCTAATGTCAGAGTCTAGGGTTCTAGAAAATGATCTCCCCGGGAGAAGAGCATAGTGACATTTACAAAACAGTATTTTGCTGAACAGTGTCAAGAGCTAAAACAGAGAACTGATAGAGGTAGTGTGGGGCAATAAGAGAAGTACAGATTGATTGGAATGGGCCTTTCAAGTAGAGTGATCTCATAAGAGACGCGGGAACAAGTACTGGGTGCCATCCCTTTCCTCTCTGGAACTCCAGCTGTGTGGGAGCTACAGACACAGACCCAACTGTCACCCACAAATTTCTTTCCCCAGAGCATAAACAGCTGTCCGTCTATAAGTACAAAGTCCCTGGGGTTTGGACCCAGATCTAAAGCAGAGCAGGGAACTTAGAATTTGGTGACTACAAAAGTGTTTTGAAAGTCTTGGCCATTTCTCTGATAGACCACAGCATCTTTAACAAGGGTATTTGCCTTTACATTAAGAAAAGAAAAGTGCTTTTGAGCACATGACTTGGGTGCTCCGTAGAGATTTTTGCTCTTCGTTTTTGTTCAGCTTTCAGGGTGGCTTGGTCATTCCCCTTCCCTCCCCCTTTCTCTCTCCCCATTTATAAAGGAATAGAATTTTACTGGAAATGGAAAATACATAAAAGCAAAGAAATCTAACCTGACCCAAAAGTATACTTAATGAGAAAAAAAAGTATACTTTTTCTTAAATAAAAAAAAAAAGGAAGAATGATTTTTAAAAGGCAGTTCCCTCTACTTAAGAAATTTGTTATTCCTATTATGCTTACCCTTCAAAGAAAACAAACCAACACCAACAGTCACCTGCCAGTCATTCCTAGCTGGGACCAGTCACTTCCTGTGTTTTGATAACATTGACTTTGTGGGCCAGTTGAGTGGTAAAAGCTCCTTCCCCATTCATTTCACATTTGCCATGCTCCCTGCCTCTACCAGCCAGTTATTACATAGTAGTTTTGTTGAAATAAACATGTATTTAAATGTTTTTAGGAATCTTTCATCATGGTTAGAGATTCCCTATTTACCTCTCTTCCCCCAGATAAAATTTGGCATTTAAAATCTTAACAAATCTAGATAAACAGAGAGCTGAATGTTCTCAGATTCCTTTGAGTCAAGGCCATGACCACAACCTCTCTAACTATATAAGCATTTCAAACTTTCTCGTGGGTTCATGAACTATAAGAAAGTTAGTATTGTTTAAATTAGGTTAGCTTTACTTCTTTGATTCAGTCAACTTTTATTGAGCCCATACTCTGTGGAGAACCTATTTCCTGGTTCTCCTACAGCTCAACAAAGACACCAACATATATACAGAACAAGCATGGGCCCTGAGGTGCATATTGTTAAAAACTTCCCTGATGTCCTGAGAACCATCACACCTGATGAATATATCTCTAAAGTGGATGGAGATGAGTAAATGGTACCTAAGTTCCATGTTCACTTCCTGCAGAATTTGAATGGCCACCAGGACCTGCGTTGCAATTATTCTCAGGAACATAGTAATAAGTGCTTATGACAGGAGATAGTTACTGTATCCCCAAGAAAGAAACGTTTTATTTCAAAGATAAATTCCTAGTAAAAACCATACCTATATTGCTATTCTCCTTAGAAGTTTTGATACTTTTCTTATGCAATCTTGACTTGTAAAATATTCCAGTAGACTTAGGTCAGAAGCACTTGGGAAATTTTTCTTGGCCCTGTTCCATTTTGACCAGTTGTTCTAAAAGAGTTACCAAAAAGGTAGGGGAGGGGAATAGTTTCTAGATTGTGTCGGGTCTCCATACAGTGTTTTAAAAACCACTGGATGTAGTTCAGAGAAGAGTTGAATGAAACACCTGATTCCAGTTTCTGTCATGCTGCTAGTGTCTTGTGCGGTTGAGTCTGAATAAATCGTGTTGTCTCTGTCCACACCTCAAGCCCCCAGTGAGTGAGGTGGCTGTGAACTCTCCTTCATCAGGTAAGGAAAACCAGAGCTTTGAAATCTGTGGGAGAAAGGAACCATGTAAGTGTTTGCTAATGCCATCTGTCTGATGAGAATTGCATGTCTAGGTTTGTATATATCCAAGTATAGCTGCTCATGGTATAACTCTCGGAACTCTGAAGTTGGCTAGGGCTTGTACTGCACCAAAGGTCACTCAACACAAGGCCAGACCTCCTGTCTGAAGCCAGCACTTAGTCCCAGCCACTCCCTGAAAGTGCCACCCTCACTTTCTCTCCAGCTCTGAAATGCCTTTCACTCTCTACCTAGGCTGAAGCTGACGTAGCTTCTCTGAACAGACGCATCCAGCTGGTAGAGGAGGAGTTGGATCGTGCTCAGGAGCGTCTGGCAACAGCTTTGCAGAAGCTGGAGGAGGCCGAGAAGGCAGCCGATGAGAGTGAGAGGTGAGAGCACCTCATCCAGCCCCTTCAGCACAAGCCTTTCCTCCTGGTGGGAAGAACCCCAGAGTACTTGCCTAGCATGCACATGGCCTTGGCTTCAGTCCCCTGCACTGAATGGGATAATCTCAGCTTTTTTTTTTTAAACATTAGAACACCTACTGTGCAAAGCATGGTTCTAAGCCCTAAAGTTGTAAAGAGGAGAAAGATCTTGTTGCCATTCTCAGAGTTCACCACCCAGTGAGAGACACAGTCATGTAAACAAGAAATTCCATGGGTACATGGTGGTTCTTTTCTTTCTGCTGACCACAGAGCAACTGTGCTTTTTAAATATATAATTTTATTTAATAAGACATCAAGGAAACTTGGACCTAAAGGAACTGTGGGTTATCACTTGTCAAATAGGTAGAAGAAAAAGCACAGTGAAAGTGAATAGGATCTGCAAAAGTAAAATGTTTGGGACTTGTACTCAATATACATAAGACACAGGTACACATGCAGCCAGGTGCTCATATGTTGAGCTTACCTCCACTGTAACCTGCTTAACCTGATTTATTATTCAAAGCTCCAGTCTCATCATGGTGAAGGGAAAGTGTGGTTCATATAGACCAGCCAACTAACCACATGCATTCTAGGAGGCTTTTTCTTCCACACTCAGTCTACAAGCTAATGGAGTTGCCACATTGCATAGAAACATCCCCAAGAAAGACTCCATGAGGCAAGAGCATTCTGCCCGTCCCCAAGGGATAGCACAGCAGTGCAGGCTCAGAACACTGCAAGCGTGCCTACCTGTGCAATGACCTGGGCAGGTTAATGTGCATCTGCCCCTTGCCATCACACAATGTAAAGAGTGATTTCAGACTTAAAGGTTAAAGAAACTTTTAGCTGAAGTGTTCAGCTCATTATTCTTAGTGCTTCTTCACTAACGTAGAACTTGTGATACTTTCAGCTGATAAACCTCTCTTATGGTGTGTACACAACAGTGGTGTTTTGACTGAGTTCTTCCTGAAATATACCTGAAGGCAGTCCTGCAATGTTATGCTATGGAGTAAAAGGAACTGAGAAATCATTTACTCAGCCTCCTGGGTTTACAAGTGAGAAAATTACAGCTCAGAGACTGCCCAAAGGATCACAGCATACATTTGACTAAGCCAAGACTAGAACACAGATCTTCTCAAAGATCTAGCCCTTCATCAAAAAATAGTGTTTTATTTATTGCCTGCTTAAATTTTGGTTAAGTCCCATTTTTTTAATAATGAAAATAATAGTAAAGTTTATTAGGAAAGGAATACACTTTCAATAGACTGAATATAGGTCCTCTCTAGAGTGAGAACGAGAATGACCTGTCCCATTTTTAACATGACTTGTTATTCCACAAATCTGTAATTTATCATAAATAAGTTAACATTCTCTGAAACACACCTTACCATAGGACCCTAATGTACACATCAATGTAGATACCCGTGTCAGTCCTGTCTCCCAAACTCCCCATTTAGAAAGTTCCATTATAGGCAAAACTTGGTTTATCTGAAGAGTTCAGTTGAATCAATTGAAGTTGCTAATTTTGCACGTCTGAAATGGTCAGACATCAGTTTCCTTTGAGCTTTGTGTGTGATTGAGGGAGTAAGAGAAAGAGGTACATGAATTTACTTTTGTCTTAGCACTAGTCCATTTTCAAGGTGAGACTTCCATCAGGAAAGGGGAGCAATTACTTTATAGGTTACCAAATAAAGTATATTGGCTTTTCCTGTTTCCACGTCTCCCCGATTCAAATGGGGTCCTTGCCGTCTTGCCTTCCATTTAGCATTAGGTATCGGGTAGCTTCACCAGTAACAGTGTGAGGTTTCATCTACAAGGAACAGAGAGAAACATGTTTTTTTTTGCCTCTAGCTCTAGGAAGTCTATGTGCTCTATGTAGCTCTATGTGATATTTTGGTCTGCCATTTATTTGCACTAAGCCTGCAGACCACAGCAGTACACAGTGAGTTTTGGGAAATTGACTCTAAATCTTGGGTTTTCCCCCTTGTCTTTATTCCAGAGGCATGAAAGTCATTGAAAGTCGAGCCCAAAAGGATGAAGAAAAAATGGAAATTCAGGAGATCCAACTGAAAGAGGCAAAACACATTGCTGAAGATGCCGACCGAAAGTATGAAGAGGTCAGATTTGGGCCCAGAGCTGTGGGGACTCCCAACAGAGGCCTTAAGGGGTAGTGTACGGCCTCGATTCCTATGTGAAACAGTTTGCTTCCTTGGTAGAAGTCAGTGGTTTTGAGAAGCAAAATTCCATTATCTCCAGAAAATGGTTCTCATTTTGATCCTGCCAGGGGCTCTCAGGTGTATAATAAAGCCAGCCAAAAGCGCTGCAAAGAAAGATCAAAACTCCCCGCAAAGCCCAGGGCAGAGGTCTCTGCCCAGGGAAAGGGAAAGTGGGCCCTTGGGAAAGGAGGCTCTCATGCTGTTGTGGTATAGGTAGTCCTTTCAGGAGAAGGACTGCTTTGCCTAACAATTCAGTTCATTCAGCTTGGAGACCATGAGCCGTGCAGCTGCCTGGTAGCTTTGTGGAGTCCTCTCCTGTAGAGTAGTGGAAACCCATTGTCCACACAGGTTCTCAGGGAATCATCTAATAATGTCCACATGAAAATGACCTGTGCTAATGGAGGCAGTGCGACTATCACAGTTTTCATTACTATATTACATCATGACTGTTCGAAACAGCATGGCCCTTCTGTGTAGTATTTGTCCAAATTATTTCCTGTCTACTGGCTTTGAACTGCTTCAGAGACACCTTTCTTCTTTCAGGCTTGCTGCCACTGAGTGCAGATTTGACCTGGTCAGTCATGTCGTGGTGGCCCCTTTGCTTTTTAACTGCCTCCACAAGGAGGAGGTTGATATGCACAACTCTACATCCATGGGTGCTTAGGTTTATTTTCAGTGTTTCTCAGCAGCCCCCACCTTTTCAGCATAAAGTGCAGTATGTCTCCTCATACTGCTGTTTTTGAGATTGCAGATTTCATATTTCTCATTCTACTTTTGTCTCACTGCTGTGTAATTATACAGACTTCTCCTGGGTCAGATTCAGCTTGAGACTGTGAATTGTAGCTAGGCATTCTGGGTCTTGGTAGTAGAAGCCCCTGACCTCCGCTGTACGGGCACTCCTGAGGGCAAGTTGCTTCTCACCAGTCTGCTGTAATGAGAAGCATACTATATGTAGACAGAAACCTTTGGGGACTAACGGGACCCAATTCCCACCCCCGATCCCCTACACAAAGCCTACAAGCCCCACAGTGTGTGTGTACTGTTTGTTCTGCTGCAGGTGGCCCGCAAGTTGGTCATCATTGAGAGTGACCTGGAACGTGCAGAGGAGCGGGCTGAGCTCTCAGAAGGGTAAGCAGGCCCCTTGCCAGGAGGCCGCCTGTGGGTACTGCAGAGCAGTGACTAAACAGCATGACTTTCTGGCAGCTGCACATTTACCTGTTTCAGCTCCTTCTGTGCTCATTTGATGTGGATGAGTCACGAGTGTGGAATACAGAGGACTCGTGGGGTGTCTGTGTGCGAATGCGTGTATCACTGCATGCCTTACCTGCACACTGATTTTGTGAATGGCCTTGTGCATTTCCTGTGTCCACTAACAGCCAAGTTCGACAGCTGGAAGAACAATTAAGAATAATGGATCAGACCTTGAAAGCATTAATGGCTGCAGAGGATAAGGTACTGATGGCTCGTGTGTGGTTTTTAGGTTTAACTGCAATTTATACATCTTTCAGCTTCCAATGCCCACTGGTTGGTTTGGTGTAACCACTGCACCTTCACTACACCCTCTGCTGTTTATATCTCGCTTTAAATGCTTTCTCTTGGTCTTTTTTGCTCTTTGTTTTTTTCTTCATAAATGCTCTTAGGGGCAGCCAATTAGAAGCCAAATTATCACCTTTCGGAGTTGCTGGATTTTGTCATCCTGCCTTTCCACTCTTGTGAGGTTGGAGGGCAGTGTCCATGGTAAAATTGAGCATTTTCATTCCTGATGGTTTGGCTCCTTGAAGGCAGCTCCTTTGTCTCTAGGACTTGGTTTTCATTTTTTCCCATCCCTCTCCTTTTTCTCTCCTCTTTCTCTGGCTTGTCTCCCACCCTTTCTGCCTCTGATCGAAAACATTAGCAAATGTGCCGAGCTTGAAGAAGAATTGAAAACTGTGACGAACAACTTGAAGTCACTGGAGGCTCAGGCTGAGAAGGTAGGCCAGGAGCATGGACTGGGGAAGGCATCTTTTCAGAGCTTCTCAAGAGAGACCCTGCCGTGAAGGCAGTGGCACAAGAGGCATTTAGTAAATGGCAACATATTTTAGATGACTTCCTGCTGGTTATTAGATAGCAGGTTTTTAAAAAATGTTTTAATAGAGGATGTATTTTATGTTGAGTGAGTCCTCAATTTAATTTAAACACAGTGCCAAGTGACTAGGTTATCTTCTTCTTATCCCATGTAAAACAATAGGCAAGAAAGCAGAGAGTGTATTGCAGCATGCCATTTGATATCAGGGGTTCTGTTACCTGCTAGGAGATCCTTAACATCTGTTGGCTGGGTTGGCATGTTCTTTGTGTTAGAAGTGTGAGTACTGTGATCTGCAGCCTGACATCTGGAATGCTCTTTCTAATTACAGTACTCACAGAAGGAAGACAAATATGAGGAAGAGATCAAGGTCCTTTCTGACAAGCTGAAGGAGGTAATATTTTGAGAGTTTTGGATAAAGGCAGCTGGATTTAAATTAAGTTTGTTTTCATGGAGCTGGCCAAGATTTTTCCATTTTCAAGTTATGATGATCCAAGTCAGGGACATTTGGAGGTACCCTTGGAGTTCGTGTGCTATGCTAGCTTCCACCACTCACTGTAGTGACTGAAACAGGCAATTTCAGACCCATTTCCCAGGTGGTAGACTGGAGCTTCATCCTATAGTTTTTCCTATATTTGTGGCTATTAGAACTGCGAAACTTCCCAACTTTGACTCAAATTAAATCTTCACAGGCTGAGACTCGGGCTGAATTTGCGGAGAGGTCAGTGACTAAATTGGAGAAAAGCATTGATGACTTAGAAGGTAAGACCTGAAATATGTCTTTAACTTAATCCTTATGGTTGTCTACTGACGTGACAAAAGCATTCAAGTGCACCCTGACAAACTTCTTTGCTCTCGCATTTTCTACCTGACTGTCTTCTGGGGTTTTTATCTACAGCTCATAAACTCTTGGACCTGAGTTCTCAGTTCTTGGGGTGACTGGCTAGCCACCAGACAGTGCATGTCTCTCTTTGTAATGGCAAATGCCATCCAGCCTTACTTCATGCTCCTCAGAAGTATGTCAGGGTTTATGAGTGAAGTACTCATAGGTGAGAGTGACTGGTATATTTTGTGTCTTTGGTGATACCTCCAATAGTCAGAATAATGTGGATTTGTTTTAGACACAACCCATCTTCCTAGTGTGAGTTCTGTGGAAGGGCTTGAGGGTTTTAAACTCACTCATTAGCAAAATATTCTACATCCTGAAAGGGTGGAGTGCAAGAATCAATATGGCAATGTATTTGAGAATTTTTCCCCTAACACATGTAGGATTTGCGTAACACACCCACTCGACCTCACAGATACACCTTAAATGTTGAGCGTTGAGGTGAAGGGTTACCTATGACAAAGAAGAAAAAAACATAATTGGAGAAGGGATTGGAAATTGATAATAAATTAATGATATATTGCAGACTTGTCACAACACCACCCTGAAAAGTATGGCTTTCTTCTCTTGTCTAGCTAGTAACAAGCAACTAAAGCGGAAAGACCACAAGAGTAGTTTAATGACATTAAGAAGTCAATATCCCAATGGTCTAGTTTGGTCAGGAAGTCAGTGGCTGAAAGGTGTCATAAGATCAGCATTACAAGCTTTAGTGACAAATTGTACTTCAAGACACTTCCTTTGAATATTTTTCTATTGTCTATAGTTCCAGGTGGCTTGACTACTCTGATGTGATTAAAATATAGCTCTGTAAAAAGAAAGATGTTCCATTTCCCCTTCTGTGGTTTTCTTTAGGGTTTAACAGTTCACTGATACACCTATCATATTCGTTATGCTTTTCATATTGAGTCTTTCTCATTTTATTTTCTAATGGGTTTTGTTCTCTTTGTTTTTGTTTCAATTTATTTAAAAACAAAACGCACGCCTCCTGCATTGGCCACCTGCTGCGGCACCAACCCCTCATGCATTGCCTTTTCTGGCTGCCGTGTTGGGATGGCCCGCGCCACCCTCATTCACCCTCTTCTCTTGGTCACTCTCCGTGTCCTTGCTCCTCTGCCTTCCACTTGCTGCTCCTAGACGAGCTGTATGCTCAGAAGCTGAAGTACAAGGCCATCAGCGAGGAGCTGGACCACGCCCTCAACGACATGACTTCCATGTAAATTTCATGCACCGCACTCGCCTGCTCGCATGCCTATGTGATGAGCTCGCCGCAGCTCCCTCTTCCTCCATGACCTTCAGCTTTGCACCCTTCTCTTTGCTGTCTGCATAACCTAGGGTAGCTGTTATTTTTTTCACATTGTACTAACATAAAGGCCAAGTAGATTAAGCCAGTGAGAACCATTTTCCTTTCTGAATCCTTTTATTTCATAAATGCTGAACTAGATTGCTTCCACTGAGCAGTGAGCTGGAATATGAATGACCTTGAGTACTATCCTTTAAGAAATTACACTAGACTCAAGTAGAACTAGTTGGCCATGCACTTATGTAGGAACTCCTGAAATATCAAAATTGGTTTCCTGAGGTTCGTGGAGTACGATATGATCATTTTCATAAAAGAAATGTAAATTTAAGGAAACCTTAAAATATCAGATTACTGAGAATCCAAGGAAAAGGAAATTGGCATGACCCACGATAGCCTACAGAGCAGCTATGTAAACAATCATCTCTTCTTCACTGTTAAGAATTCTAGAACAAAATGAATGCTCTGCCTTTAATTTTCTATGCTTATATTAAAAAGATTTGAAATATCCATAGTAAACATTTGCCATGACAAAGAACTAGGAAATATAACACAGTTTGTGTCACATGAACTTGGGGATAATGGTCCCAAATTTATTCTCATGAGGCAGTGCGAGTTTAGAGTAGGTAGCCTCCTTCTCATGAGGAAAACCTTAAACATACATAGCTAACTTACACATTACTAACCACATGTAAACATTAGACTTACCTGCCTTTGAATTCTCACTTTGAGTGTGTCACAGAGGGCTTCCTGCTGCTAGTGCCACAACTCTATTAGAGCTGGAAGTGTCACTTTTTAGGCTTACTTGTCTTTACCCATGCAGAAAAACAGTAGTGTGAAGAGTGTGGCTTATGTCTGCTGCCTTGGGGGTTCTATGATTTTCACACCTAAAAACCAGCCCTTAGAGATCAAGGGGTCTCCCTCATTTGTAAATGAGGGGTGGGTCAGATCATCTGTCTCTAAAGGCCTCCCCGGTGCTAAAATGTGACTCTGGGGGAAAAAATCCTCTTGGCATCAAGTATGATAAAATGTTCTAAAAGAATGGTTTAGCTTAAAACCTGTTTTAAAGTCTGTTCACGAGTCTTCTCCACAACTGGCCCGTGATGGCCTCAGGTCAGTACATGGGCGGGTGAGGATGGACCTCACCGAGGGTGCAGCTGGCAGTAGGTTTTGCATGTCTGCTGCTTGCCTGTTTTAAGTGCTGCTCTCATCTGTTTGTTTGGTTTTCCTTTTTTTCCATTGCACCACTTTTTTCTTTTTCTCCCACCTTTTGTCTTCACGCAGATAAGTTTCTGTGCCTTACTTCTCTCAAGACTTCTTCATCAAGCTGGGTGTTCCACCTCTCAGCGCTGCATTTGTCTGTTCTCCAGCTTTTAGCACTCGCCTTAGGGCCAGGCACACTGCTTCCTATTGTACAGAAGCTCTTCGTCCAGTGTAAAATAAACACTGCGTAAGCTGTTTCCGTTTGCTATTCTTTTTACTTCTTATTTATTGACATTTCATCTCAACACTGAATAAAATTACAATCCTGCTTCATGCATCTAAGGGTTAATTTTTGGCTGCTGCTTTTTTTTTTTTTTTTTTTTTTTTCTTTTTAATTGACAGGGTCTCACTCTATAGCCCAGGCTTGCCTCAAACCCAGAATCCTCCCTTAGCCCTGCAAGTGCTAGGATTACTGAGGTGCAGCACCATGCCCAGCTGAGCATCAAGAGTTTCTGAAGTAGTAGCTCCTTGTGCACCTTTTAGAAGAATACCCATGCTCACATCCCTCAAGAGAGTTTTGGTTTCCAGACAGTATAGTGAGTGAGGTCTAGGCATCGCTGATTTGAGGAATCAGGGTAGTTCTGTCATGCAGTTTGGGTCAAGAACCTCTGCACAGGGAACAGTGTTTGTTGGGACTGAGGAAACCTGGCTTGAGCATTGTCTTCCTCAGCCAGAGGTTTAGTTTAGGATGTGGCAACTCCTCTGTGCTGATTTGTGGATGACTGTCCTTAGAGGACACGGTCTGCTAATGAAAGGCTCAGGAGGAATGGCTGCAGAGCCATCCCACATCCCATGGTGCTAGGAATTTACAAGTATATCTGTTATACAGGCACCTTCATTTTGATCACAAGAATGACATTAGGTTTTCTGAATATAATTACCCTGTTTGAGTCACGATTTATTTGCGTTCTTTAAGCACTCTATGTGTTGTTTAGGAGGGATTGTATAATACTGTGTTTAATAGCTGGTGGGGGGGATTCCCATATATGGACATTTTAAAAATACAGCCATTAGAGTTTTTTTCCCCCAGAAAAACTGTTTGGTGGAAATTACTCAGAATACAACTGGATTTTATTTGGACTTCACAGTTTCATGTCACAAGCAGCAATTCATGATTTTTCTTAATTGCAAAACTAGAACTTTAAAACAATGTGAACTTTATTAGTTCCAACGTATCCTCTGCCTCAATAGTCTGGTTCTTTCTTCTGTGTTTTAAAAATGAATAATTCTAATCTGTTTTGTATATGGTTTGTTAGCCCAACAGAATTTATATGCCACTATATTCAAATAAATTTAGACAAACTGAAAACAGTGTCAATCTCTCTATGAAGTCTTCAGAGCACAGAGAAAATTTTTTGTGAAGGCTCTGAATTAAGTATTTTGGTAATTTTAGGTATGGGAGATTTTCTTAATTTAGCATCTGGACAGTCTCTCTTGAGATATTGGCTTCTGAGTTTCATGTTTTTTCTTTTTCTAAGGTTCCAGGGCCCACTTTTCACCATGATTCCTGCCTTGTTCTTTTTTTAAATTCAGAGAAACAGAGGTGACCCTCTCTGAGTCATCCTGCCATAGCGAAAGTGACGAGTCTGGAAGGTCTGCTGAACAGATGTTCAGTGAAGTCTTAGAGACACAACTGTTTCTTGGGAAACCTCCCAGAAATTTCATACACATTTTATAGGTATTCTCTGTAAGAGAAAAGGGGAAAGTAAAGGATCTGGGAGGCAGGGTTCACGTAGCCCCAAGGCTACAAGAAATCTGGGTTGGACCAAACCAAAAATATGACCAAGTGTGGGTACCAGAGACCTCAGACATCTGGGAGTCTATGTGGAACTGGAGGGAAAGCACTCCCAAGTGTGTACACTTGTCTGGTATCTGTTTTTGGGCCACCTAGGCCCAACTAGTTCCATGACAGCTGACAGGGAACAGGCCCAAAGGGGCTGAGGTCAGGACCACTGTCGTTTAAGCTGAATTCAAAGAGGCCCTCTGGATTCGCTGGTGTTTTTCCAAAATTCTGTTCCAGCTGGCCAGACATTTGGGCTCAGCCAGCAGACATCCTCCCTGCCCGTGCTGGCAGTTTCCCGTCATGACAATGTGAATGTCGTGGGGTTTACATATTGCAGCCCCCAAGCAAATGCCACATGCAAGGCACTGGAAGGTGGCAGCAGGGGTGTGGAAAGAGATAAGCTGGAAGTGCTTGCTCTCCACAAACTGGCCATCTTGTAGGAATATAGATGAGTGAGGTGAGTCTGAACTAACAGATAACGTACATTTTGAGCCAAGAAGGAATAGAAAATAATTCTGAGCTACCTGGAAGAGGTGACAATATTCAGAAAATTTAGATGAGAAAGAAGAAAAAGGCAGCAGATTCTGAGCAGAGCAAACGTAATGAGCATAGCGTCTTCTCTGTCTCCTACCATTTGTAAGAGATTAACAGGACTGCTCGGTTTCTCCTCAGGCCTGGGGACTGCAGTCAGCACAGGCTCTCCAGAGGATAGAATTGTTAGCTTTCCAAGACCATGAAGTAGACTTCCTAGGTCCAGGCTGTCACTGTTCCAAGCAGTCATGCATCCTCCAGCTTTTCCTCCTGGTCCTAGTCTCTTGCTTGTCATTGAGTGTCCCAAGGATCATCAGATATAGCCTGAGTCCTGTGGTTGGCTTCTTTGCCACCTGAATAAATTGCAACTCAGTTATGTAAAGTCTATCGCACTGGTATTTGTGTAGATCTTTGAGGGTTTGTTCATTTTATGCACAACTATTAGCACCAAACATGATTGCCATCCTCTTGAAGTAAGCAGATAAATTCTAAATCAGTGTTGCTTGCATATGCTTGATCTTTTGCTATTTGAATAGGGTAATAAACTGTTAAGGTATATCTTGTACCCTGATGACTGGGGGAAGGACAGGGAGCCTGGTTGTACATTTCACTTGGTAATACCCATGGGGAAAGCCTGCACTGTGAGTGGAGAGAAAGGAGTTCAGGAAGAGTGGGCATGAGTGGGCAAGCCAGTGTATCACCAAGGAACTCCACTGAGCCCTAGCAAGAGGTGGATTATGTGGACTGGCCGCCAGCTGGTCCTCAGTGCCCAAGTCTGTTGCCAAAAACTGCACATGGCTCCATTCACAAAATGGTTCTAATGAAGTATAAGAGGAACATTCACCTCTCCTCCTTGAATCCTGCACCTCTCCTCCCCTCCCCATCAGAGGAGAGATCCTGGCTCTTCCTCATTCTGCCAAGCCTTTACCACCCACCCTTGCAAGGACAGATGACCCATGGGGTAAGGGTAGACTGCTCAACAAGTGACCATTTGCTGTTCTGCCTGAGTTATCTCTATGTTCTCTGTTAACTGCCTCTCACCAAGTCTGCCTAACCTCTCTTCCCTCTGCCTCTTCTTTTCTGCTAACCTGCTTGCTGACCTGTACAGATCAACTCTACCAGCAACTTGAGCAAAACCGCCGCCTAACTAATGAGCTAAAGCTGGCCCTGAATGAGGATTAAAAACTTACATGTGAAAAAAATGGGCTGAGTTCTAGGAATGAGCCTATGAGCAGGAAATCTAGATTGGCCAACCTTCAACTGATAGGGCTGGAAACAGGTGATTTCTGCAGAAATGGGAAGGAAAGGACCCAGCTGAAAGGCTCACCTTGCCTGCATTTTCCTGTATATATCCAAAAATAACCAAGTTCTCTTTAATCCCAAAACAGCTTTTATAGTAAAACATATACATTATGTGTATGGATAAATATAACAATTCAGTACTGTTTGCAATAGCAGGTCCTCTTCTTTGAATTAGTACATAATGAGGACCAAAAATCTTTTCTACTTCCCCCAGACAACTGTGCATCCTGTTTTAAATATATACATTCCATATTTGTATTATTAACTTCTTCGTATCTGGCATAGTGTTTGAAATACAGTTAAGTGTACCATGCTTGAGCAAAATAGCTTTTGAAAACAGGAGCTCATATCAGAAGTCCCTGGTTGTCTGAAAGGTATGCTTTCTTCTAGTTTAATGATGGTGTTGGAATCTACCAAGACATCATGCTAATGATAAATAAAATACTATAAAAATATTTAAGAGAATGTCCTTATGAAGTATGCATGAAACATGTTGATAACTATTATGAGCAACAGAAATAAATCATTAAAAAGCTGTCAGAAACTTACTTCTGTCATCTTTGTTTGCTGTGAGGTTGTGTTACAACACGACTCCCAGACCTTTAGCTTGCCTGTAACTCAGAAGTGTCTGCCGGTATTAACTTCTGTTTGTATAATGATGCTGCGTCTGTATTTGGTTTTCCCTCTCCCTTTTCCCATGGCACACTGTCAGTGAACCTTCACCAGACCCACCCTACATTTAACTCTCAGGATGGGTGACTGGAGCTGGTACACCTGACTGCTGAGAACTACTGTACCTGTGGTTCCTTTGGGTTAAAAATGACTTCCCCCCCCCCCTCAGGTCCTTGTCTGGAAATGAATGATATCTTAAAGCATGCTTAGTTCTAATCTTCTCACCCTGTGTTTGTGACTGATGTTTGCCTGCCTAAATGTACAAACCACCACTGTGTCCAAAGTGCAGCTATTCATGACTTAATTTTCTAATCCCACCACAGAGAAAGTGGCTCATGCCAAAGAAGAAAACCTTAGTATGCATCAGATGCTGGATCAGACTTTACTGGAGTTAAACAACATGTGAAAACCTCCTTAGCTGCGGCCACAGTCTTTCACTTTGTTTTTGATGTTTTGTTTTGTTTTGTTTTTAACACCTGCTTTCCATGAAACCTCTTAAATGCATTTTTATTTACTTTTACCACTGTCACAGAAACATCCACAAAGAAACAGCTAAGGCAGGGGATGGGGAAACACAAACAAAGGCGAGCCCATGGCAGGGTGACAAGTTTTAAATGTGCCATTTCCTAGGTTGATATTGCCACACTTTGTAGACTTTAACCACACATTTTGCTTAGTCAGTGTAGGAATCCTCACCAAAGCCAAAAGAGATCCACTCAAAGTGCCAAGCATAGGGTCACCAGGAAGGCCATGTTGGAGACAATCAGGTGTGGATTGGTGCTACTTTAAGCAAAAGGTCCCCTGTGGTCTTTTGTTCAATATTGTACAATTTAGAATTCTGTCCAACACTAATTTATTTTGTCTTAAACAGTTTAACTACAAGATGAGACTACAGATCCCATGTGCATGTATTCATAAAGCCAAGGGTGTGAAAGCCAAGCTGCTCCTTTAAAATGTCCTTTCTGATCGGCTCACTTGCAGCCCATTACAGCTCTGTAGGATAGCACTCGATGTGGATTTCAACTCTTCCCAGTTCTCTATGAAAGTGAAAGATTTAGGCACTACACGCAGTTGGTAAAGACAAACCATTTTCTTCAGAGTTAAAACTATATGTAAACATTGTATAATGATATGATATGAAATAAAATGCACATTGTAGGACATTTTCTAAATCTGGTTGTCCTGTTGTTTTTATTTTGTGCACTGTAGACTGATTTACCTACCTGCCTTCACACAAGGTTTCTTAAAAATGATGCTCCAAGGAGTAACCCTCCCAGGATCACAAAGCCAGCGTGGTTTGGGCCTGTTAGAGTTACAACAAGCAGGAAAGGCCCTTTCCAAAAACCTCTTCTATGTTACTGGTACAGGTTTTCATGGACATAGAGGCCTTCTACAGTGATTTTTACTGTTCAGGATTTCCTCCAGATTTAGTGGTGTCAGACACATCAACCAGTGGGGTTAGTGGACCAGCTTTGCTGTTGCCCCAGCCCCGTGCTTCTCCTTGAGAGTGCTGCTTTAACAGGTTGTGTGGCCTTTCTGCTTTTAGCCCATGTGAGTTCTAAATTCCAGTACATCTTTGTTTCCTCAGACTTGAAATTTAAAATGTGATCAGTTTCCCTAGTTCTTGAAGCCACTAAGCGAACAAAAATAGAAACAGTATCAGTTGGCTTTAGTTGTGCTACAGGGAGAGAAAAATGGATATTCTCACCAAAAGCAAATACGGCAGAGTGGCAATAAGTGAAAACTCATTTCAGGAATAATATTTTCATTTCAAAAGTACTAAACGGCTCTCTAACTGTTCTTCATGCCCTTGGGCCAGGTATCACAGAAAGATACAGGCTGCAAGGCAGAGACCCCATAGGAGCCTGGAGAGGTGGCTTCTAGATCCCACTTCTAAAAAGATGTCCCCTTACCCGAGACAAATAAGTGCTCTGGGTTTCATCCTTTCTGCATTTCAGTACTCAGCTGGGAAAAATATGACTGCTTCACTGTAATCTGGGAAGCCTTTCCTGAACCTAGCACTTTCACCTCAGGAGCCAGATCTGATTCAAATCAGGAGCTGCCCTACCTGTCTAAGGTGCTGTGTGTGCTGACAGACAATTGTGGGGATCTGATGTGTAAACCATGACAGTGCACGGCACAGGCTGGGCTTCTAGGCACACTGGTAAATAATGACTGCTGCCGTCCTCAACTTGGCACCTGTGCTGCAAAGACCACTGTGGGCATTTAAGATGCATTTTTGTGAAGCCAGGAGAGCAAAACTGCCCAGGTAAGGATGAGCATTAATGTTATCATATACCAATATACCAGAGCCAGTATGCACTTTACAAGTGTTACTCCATTAAACTTCACATCGAGTCTTGTTTTGCTAATAGACTATCAAAGGCCAACCTGTTGATAGTTCCTCAGTTCACAAAGTGGCGGGGGGGGGGGGGTGCAGCGGCTTGGTCTGTGTGGCTCCAAAGCCCTAGTTGAATTTTTCCACTCGCGATCATTTTACAGCAAGAAAAAAGGCAGTGGCTGGATAGTAGTTTAACATCAGACCTCCTCCCTGGACTCCCAGGGGTCAGATAAATTGGCATGAAGCAACATGCCAATTTGAAGAATGATTACCTCATCTTTCAGATCAGAATAAAAGGACAGCCCTATCTCCTCATGGCACATGTCTTGGGCCTGACCCAGTGTGATAACCTCTGAGCAGGCCACCCTGTGAAGTCAGGATATGATTAGGACTCTGTCATGAAAAGGCCAAGGCTGGAAGCCAACAAGGTTGCCATTTAGATACCCGTGAAGCATGGAGTTCAAGTTGCATACTCAGAATGCACTGCAGGAACTCCACAGTCCTGATTTCAAGTAAGAGAGCTGGAATAGTGGCCTCGTTCAGAGTAAAACATGGTGGAACCTCACAGAGAAAGGATACAGGGGAGAACATAAGCATCTTCAAAAAGTAGAAGCTCTCAGTGAGAGTTCCACAGTCTGTTAGGAGAGAACACACTTCGTGGACACATTCTGAACTTTGAGACCGGCGGTAAGGAGAACAATTCCCCTGCTTACTGCTCCCAGAGACGTCATTAGCAGAAACAAAGTCCGCCTTTTGTGTAAGCTAGTGTGTGTCCTCCAGTGTGTAATACTTTGAGCCCAACTTTTCTGTTTCTCAAGGAAAATACATCCTTCTTACTTGAACAAACATTTGTGTGTGTGTGGTAACCATTTTTCAACTTGTCAACACTGTTTATAGATGTAATTTTTTAAGAGAGATCTACAGTCAGATGTGCATACAGGGGGAAAGAAATCTGAATTCTCCAACCAAAACAGCACTAGTGTGCTTGGGAAGCCATCATTTCCAGAGCTAGAGACAGGAGTTTGGAAAGAAATTAGAAATGTCAGGCAATGCAAGAAGTGTTCCCTCCATTGTACACACTTTGACACTGAGGGTTTTCAGAGCTATGTTTCTCCAACATGACAAATTTTGTGTGTGTCAATGATGGAAGCTATGTTGAGAGTTCGCTAATACCAATGTAGCTTTGCCAAATTTTTGACAAATTGGCATTGACCCAGAGGATAAAGCTGGTTCTTGCTGACTTGAGTTTTATTTCCATTTGTTAGCAAGGCCAAGAAGAACAGAGTCAAGCCAAACCTTATCAGAGCCTGCCAAGGCTGGTGCCCTGAACTTAAATGCTAATTCAGCAGATCACTGCCTCTTATGCTCCCCAAAGCAAAGGACCAGACCTGGAGAGATTAGGTGCTTACTCAAGGCCACCGGGCCGGTTAAGTTCAGCTCAGCAAAGGGTTGGCCTTGCATCCTGCCCCCAGCCCACAGTGAGACCTACAAACGTAACTAACCATTTGAGCAGCCCTCTGGCCCCTTGTAGGTTACCTTAGGGTAACTTTTTTCTTTTGAAATCAAAATCCCCAGTACCATTGTCCTAGAGGCCACTGGTTGTGTGGTCATGAAGCCTGACACAAAGGGCCAAATAAAGGGTGGGGGCAGAGCTAGTGACAGAGTGCCTATCTAGCAAGTGCAAAGCCCTGAGTGCAATCCCTAGTGGCAGGCGGGCGGAGATTGGAGGGGGGAGACAAAATAAATTTGCCTGGGCAATTGGCCAAAAAAGAAGCCCCAGTTAATAGTTCCAAAGTTATTAATTAGTGCATGGGAGGTGAAGAATGTTTCAAAGTCATAGATTCAAATTTGGCTTTTAAGCAAAGCACTGGCCCTTGGAAGTAAGTTTCGGTGACTCCTTTCTCACTGCTCTGATATTGCTTCTGGGTGCTGGTAAGTAGAATACAGAATTATGCCCAAAGACCTGGCAGTGGTAGCTCAGGCCTCATTCATTTCAGAGGAGCCATAAGGTAGGACCACTGTGGATTCAGAAGTGAGTCCAGAAGAAAGCTGATGGTAGGAGAGGTAAGAAGTGCTCATTCTGTCTCCCAGGGGTCCACTGGGCATGGGTGAGCTGGAGGAATGAAGAGTCAGATCCTCTTGAGGGGGTGAGGGGCAGAGGTGCCAACACAGGACATGATGGTGAGTCCTAATCTAGTCTCGACTCAGGAAGGATTTGGAGTGCTCCCTTTCCAGTGAACTGGTTTAGACTCAAAGATTGAACAGTAAACTCCCAGGGCTCTAGAGTCCTTTGACCCTCCAGTGAGCAGGGCTTTGATGGGCTGGCCACATCCTACATCAGCACCCACACCCCAGCCCCTACTCCAAGTTCACTTCCTCTGTGAAGACTATGGTTCACAATAAAACATTTGCCAAGAAGTTACTTGAGTCATACTGTGGTCAAGGAGTTACCTGACATGAGCCCGTCACTATGCCCAAAAGGATTAAGGCTTGTTACTGAAAGTTCAAAGATCTACATAGAAATATCTGTGCAGCAGGAGTTTTTGTTTTTAAAGGGGTACTGGCTTCACAGGCAACACTAGTATGTCTGCATCTTGAAAACCTCAGGCAGCCCCAAAATGATTGATTGCTAGCTTGTTCAGCTGAAGGCCACCATTCCCATGACTGCCTTTCCTGCTCTAGTCACACAGACACTCATCCCAGAACACTAGGGCTGTCTACCTAGCCAGCCCTTTCCCAAGAAATGAAAAAGGAACAAAGGTAGAATCATTTGCCTAGGAACAGGAATGTGGTGACTAAAGAAAGTGCACCTCGAGATGTCTGGTCTCCAGTCCTGGCAAAACTGCTCACCATCGCTGAACCTCTATTTTAAATTCCTATGTGGAATGTCTCCTGGCTTCCCTCCCCTCTTTCCCCCTCATTACAATTTTTGTCACTCTAATCTCTTATTCTCACTCAGATGTACAAAAGACTTCCATATTATCTTCTATGAACTGGAGGATATATGGAAATTAAGCTTCATAGTTGGGACTAGAAGATTAAGAAATTCCATTTCCATTTAAGAATGATTTACATTATTTTAAGGACTATAGGTTGGGGAAATTACAGAATGATACAGGAAAAGCACAAAGAAGTTATCTAGAGGAAGGCGCTGAATGAATATATACACCCAAAAAGTAAAGCTATGATTAGTTGGCAGATTGAGAGTAAATGATACAGGAGTGCATGGAAGCAGACACACCCCCTCCCGGAAGAATTCTATCTACCCACCTAAAACCAGCGGAAGAGGCTCCCTTGGAAGTCTGTATAATTTTCTCAAAGGTACTCCAGCCACAGGCAGGTCATGACTCACCCTTACCTCTCAAATTTTAGGAACACGAGCTCTGGCTGGTTTATAAATTCTTTGATGTTTGCTATATGTCCACCCAATGTTTTGTTCATTATGGTAGCTTTCTTGTACCACACTCATTGGAAAACTCCTTTACCTACCTTCATTCATTGCATTATGACATTTAAAAAAATTGTTTTTAACTTTTGATCTTACCATACCTTTGCTTTTGCCCTAACGGCATCTCTTAATCATTAAAGAAAAGAGACTAGGTGCAGTGGCTTACATCTGTAATCTTAGCAACTCAGGAGGCAGAAATCTGGCTGGCAGAAAGTTAGGGAGATCCCATCTCAACAAACAAAGCCAGTGTGGAGCTGTACAATCAAAGCTACAATGGGAGGCCTATGCCCCAGAACAAGAGACCCTACCTGGAAAATAACTGAAGTAAAAAGGGCAAGGAGCATGGCTCAAGAGGTAGAGCACTTCCCTAGCAAATTCAAGGC